GGTGGGATTCAACAAGATTCAACAACAAAACCCCCCCCTCAAAAAAAAGGGGAGGCTGTGGAAGGAACAACGGGACGGAGCCGGGCCTTGGAATGTTTTCCAGGCCCGGGGGGCTCCGGAATTCCGGCACCCACCGACTCCTTCTTGGGCTCGCGGTCGAGGTCGAGGCGCAGCAGGGAGTGGTTGACCTTGAGGGCGAGGGACAGGGCCATGAGCCCGCCCGTCTTGATCTCGTTCTCCCGCAGGTCCAGGCGCAGCAGCCGCGGGCTCTCGGCGATGAACTCGGCCACCGCCACCGCCCCTGGGGGGACAGTGGGGACAACGATGGGGACAGTGAGGGGACAGCAATGGGGACCACCAGGACACTGGCTGGGACCACCAGGACACTGCTGGGGCCACCGCCCCTGGGGGGGACAGTGGGGACAACGATGGGGACACCAAGGGGACACCAAGGGGACAGCAAGGGGACAGCAAGGGGACAACAATGGGGACACCAATGGGGACACCGCCCCTGGGGGGGGACAGTGGGGACAACGATGGGGACACCGAGGGGACACCGAGGGGACAGCAATGGGGACACCAAGGGGACACACTGGGGACAACAATGGGGACACTACGGGGACAGCAATGGGGACCACCAGGACACTGCCGGGGCCACCGTCCCTGGGGGGACAGCGAGGGGCAGCAGTGGGGACACCAGTGGGGACCACCAGGACACTGCTGGGGCCACTGCCCCTGGGGGGACACCAAGGGGACACCAAGGGGACACCAGTGGGGGGCTCTGGGTGGGGTTTGGGAGAGATCCCAGGGATGGGACCACTGGACTGAGCCAGGTTCTCCTGGATCAAACCAGGTCCTCCAGGACCAAACCAGGTTCTCCCGGACCAAACCAGGTTCTCCTGGACAAAACCAGGTTCTCCTGGATCAAACCAGGTCCTCCAGGACCAAACCAGGCTGGACCAAACCAGGTTCTCCTGGACCAAACCAGGTTCTCCCTGCCCAAACCAGGTTCTCCAGGACCAAACCAGGTTCTCCATGCCCAAGGCAGGTTCCCCTGGACCAAACCAGGTTCCCCTGGACCCAGCCACCCTCTCCCTGCCCGCGGCAGCTCCTCGGTGCCCCGCGTGCCCCCGTGGCGGCTCTGAATCCCGGGAATCGTGTCCCCCCCGGGGCTCACCCTCGCAGGTGAGCTTGGTGGAGGCGAGGCCGAGGCGGAGCACGGAGCGGTTCCCGATGAGCCCGTTCTTCAGGTTCCGCACGCCCTCGTTCCCGATGGGATTGTGGCCCAGGTTCAGCGTCTCCAGGCTCTGCGTGTGGGGCTGCGGGANGCCCTCGGGAACGGCCCCGTTCTCCGGAGGGGCCGGGATACGGCTCCCGGCGCCTCCTTCCCCCGCCTCGGGCAGGGGCTCCACGCGCGTCACCACGAAGACCTTGTGGCCTCTGCCGGGGCTGGACACCGAGATCCTCCTCTGGTGGCCCGGCGAGGCCGGCGCGGCGTCGGGAGCGGCCGGAGCTTCCCGGGGAAGGGGCGTCGGGAAGGGCCGGGCCGGTGGCCGCTCCGGGCACGGAGGGGGGTGTCGGTCCCGCGCGTCCCCGGGATCGGTGTCCCCGTCCTCGTCCGTGTCCGAGCTGGAGTCCGAAACGTCCCCCCCGCCCGCCCGAGCGTCCCCCCCGTTCTCCTCGGCCGCCAGGGCCTCCTCCTCCTCCTCCTCCTCCTCCTCCGCATCCTCCGCATCCTCCTCCTCCTCCTCCGCGTCCTCCTGGTCCTCCGCGTCCTCCCGGGCGCCGCCATCCCGGTTTTCCGCGGCCGGCTCGGCGTCGGGATCGTCCCGCGGGGGCTCGGTGACGGTGATCTCGGGCATGGAGGCCGAGTGCTGCAGCTGCTGCTCCTGCTCCTCCTTCTCCTTGGCCAGGATGAAGTTCCGCTTGCAGCCGTTCTGGATCTCGGCCAGAAGGGCCTTCTGGGTCTCGATGAAGCTCTTCACCTGCGGAAAAGTCGGGAAGGGGAAGCTTTGGAATGTTTGGGGACGCTCCGGGGCTCCCTTTTTCCCTGGTGGAGGGGAGGATTCCTGCTCCAAACCCTGAGGGATCTGGAGCTCCCCCCAACTTGGATCCTTGGAGGTTCCTCAGGACGGGGTTGAGGAAGGAACAACCCAAAGACGGAGTTTCCCAAGGGATTCTCCCTCTTCCATCCCAAGGGATCCTCAAGAAACGGTTGGTGAAGGAACAACCCGAGTTTCCCGAGGGATTCTCCCTGTTCCATCTACTCCCGGGGATTCCCATCCCAAGGCATGCTCCACATTCCAAGGAGCGGGAATTCCATCCTTGAGGTTCCTCAAGACATGGTTGGTGAAGGAACAACCCAAGGATGGAGTTTCCCGAGGGATTCTCCCTGTTCCATCTACTCCCAGGGATTCCCATCCCAAGGGACACTCCACATTCCAAGGAGCGGGAATTCCATCCTTGAGGTTCCTCAAGACGTGGTTGGTGAAGGAACAACCCCAGTTTCCCGAGGGATTCTCCCTCTTCCATCTACTCCTGGGGATTCCCATCCCAGGGGCTGCTCCGTGCTCAGAGGAGCGGGAATTCCATCCTTGAGGTTCCTCAAGACGTGGTTGGTGAAGGAACAACCCAAGTTTCCCGAGGGATTCTCCCTCTTCCATCTACTCCCAGGGATTCCCATTCCAAGGGATGCTCCGTGCTCGGAAGAGCGGGAATGGGAACAGGGGGGATTGGGAAAGGAGACCCCCGCAGCTCAGCCGGGAAGGAGCCGGATTATCCCACCCCGCCCAAAATCCGGGATCAAACCCCGGGCGGGGCCAATTCCATCCAAAAACCGGGAAAGCCCCGGAGCTGAGGGAGAGGATTCCCCCTCCAGGGACAACGTTTTACTGCTCGGGGTGGGGTGGGATTCAACAAGATTCAACAACACCA